AGTATCTGACTTCCCCCCACATGTGTGTGTTCAGAAAGTTCCTGGAAATGTGCATTGTAAAAAAAAACAATGCCTAGACTTCTAAACTTTTTGCATCAAAATAAACTCAGACTAACTGGTTACAACATGACTGCTCAGGATCTAACTGGAGACACTAAGGAGGATCAGACATCCATTTGAAAGGATCCCTATCAGACCAACCCAAATTCTTCTAAAATTGAAACCGAAGCAAACATCAAATTTATGGTGGTGCTTGAGAGGCAGAATGGTGAAACTATTGATGCTTGACGATAAGTTTATTGAGACAAGGTCTCACATAAATGATCAGTTTAAAAGTAGATAACTCGTTATAAGAAGGAACAAAACACGGTTGAAGATAAAGCTCACCGTGGCAGACCATCCACAACAATTTCTGAGAAAAGGAGTAATCTTTTTGGTGCCCTAATTGAAGAGGACAAGTGATTCACAGCAGAAACCATAGCCAACCCCGTAGACATCTCACTTGAGTGAGCTTACATAATTCTGACTGAAAAATTAAAATTGAGCAAATGTTCCGCTCAGTGAGTGTCCACGCTGTTACGTCCTGATCAAGTGCAGACAAGAACAGAGCTTTCTATAAAAAAATTTTTAAGTGCAATCAAACTCTTAAAGCATTTCTTGAGAGAACAGTAATAGGAGATGAAGCATGGCTCTGCTAGCACAATCCTGGAGCAAAGCAATGGCTACCAAGAGCCGGAAGTGGGCCAGTCAAAGCAAAAGTAGACCAGTCAAGAGCAAAGGTCATATCATTTTTAAGTTGTTTCCGTTTTTTAATATTTTCTGTTTCTTTCTGATTGGGGTTTTCCAATGTTTTCTCTAATCATTGTTGTTGCTTTTGTTTGCTAGTTTGTTTGCTCCCTGTTTGTGTTTTGCATAACTTTCTGTCTATGGAATCCAAGATAGGTAGATCTGTCTATGGAATCCAGGATAGGTAGAGACAGGCACTGCATAGGGGCATGGCGGGGAGGATGGGGACAAATGGGGAGCTAGCAACTCTGAGTATAAGAAGCAAATGTTTTCTGAAATTGATTGTGGAAATGACTGCACAAATCCTCTTAACATGATTGAACAATTAACTTGTACCATCAACGAAGGGTTTGCCAATAGAACTATTTTTTTTTAAAGAGCAAAGATCATGGCAACAGCCTTTCTTTGTTTTGTTTGGATTTCAAGGCATTTTGTGTGTTGATTTTCCCGAAGGTCAAACAACAATAACATCTGCTTATTATGAGACTGTTTTGAGAAAATCATCCAAAACTTTAGCAAGAAAAAAAACAAAGCAAAACAGGAAAGCTTCATCAGAGAATCCTTCTCCAGCGCGGCAAAGTCTCTGCATGGCCTCTCGTCACACCAGGGCGGTTTTGCAAGGGTTCTATGGAAATTCATGAGGCAAGTAGGCTCCTCTGACTTCTTTTTGTTTCCTAGTTTAAAAGAAAACCTTTAGAGGGGACCCTTTTTTCTTCAGTTAGCAGTGTCAAAAAGACTGTATTGACATGGTTAAATTCCCGGGCCTCAGTTCTTCAGGGCTGGACTGGTACCCTTACTGACAAAAATGTCTTGACCCTGATATGTTGACAAATAAAGTTTTTATTATTTTTTGTTTGTTTGTTTAACCCTATTTTCTGAAGACTTTCTGACCTTTCTGAAGGCTCCTCCTGTGTGTGTGTGTATGTGTCTGTGTTGTACAAATCTACCTCTATTGAAATGAACAAATCTTTTTTTTTTTCAATCATTCTACTGGGGACTCTTAGAAATCTTATAACAATCCATAATTCAATTGTATCAAGCACAAATGATACAATGAACAAATCTTAAAAGCGCCCCCCCCCCTTTCTCTCTCTCTCTCTCTCTCTCTCTTTTCAAATTCCAATCCGGTATGGCAAAAAATCTGGCTCTATTACCTCCAAAATGGAAATGCTATTGCCGGATTTCCTTCTGTTTCCTCCAGGGAGTTGAATCATCCTTCCCTCAATTTAGGTTTTGCTCGGAGAAGAGGGGAATGCTTTTGTTCTCAGTGGGAAAGCTGTATAGGATACCAAATCAAGTTACTGCATTGTTACCCACCCACCGGTGAAACCCAGGCACGTCTCATCCCATCTGTGCTCTTAGGCTCCCTCTGAAATGGAAACCCCCTGAGCCAAGTTCCACCCCTCCCCTATCCCCTCCCCTACCCCCGACCCCTGCCAGCTTTGCACCTTCCCCCTGAATGCGCACCACTCTGAGCCACACACACTGGGGACACCTCACACACATTCAACCCCAGTTCATTTAGCTCTACTGTGCGCTGGCCACTTGCTCTCCCTACTGTGTGCCGCCAGGTCATTGCCAGTACTTGCTCTTATCTCAAAGAAATCCGAACGTGTAAGCATCTCATTTCCCTTTAAAAGCTGGACAGGAAAATATAAACTTGTCTTCCATCTCATGGCAGGAGATGAGTCAGCAGAACAGGAAATTCTCCTCGCACCAGCCCTTCTGATGCCGTGGGCTGGGCGGGCGTGTGTGGTATGGAGCAAGGGCTGGGGAGGCACCCAGCTTCTCTCCTGGAGCCGCTCTGAAGGGTGAACAATGCGAGCTGGCCGGTGAGTTTAGAATTGTTGACACACACTTGCCAATTAGAATTGTCCCAACATGTTTAGGGGAAAGCTCGGCTGCTTCCAAATAAGGAACAGGGCAAATAAGGAAACTGACTGCTGCCCACGTCTCAGCAGCCTCGGAAAACAAGAGGTTCAAGGCGTTGCAGTGGCTGAGTCTCAGGGCAGACGAGCAGCACACCCAGGTGTAGGGAGATGGGGAGAAAGCGTGTTTCAAGGTGGATTTCAAGACCAGGGCTTAGACTCCACACAAGCTTTCAAAACAGGAATAGGAACGCTTAGTGAGTGCCAGGCCCAGAAGAGTCGTGTGGACTGGAAATGTCTAGAATCATGATTAAGCCACTTCTGGGTGCGGCTCCTGTCAGCAGTCGAAAGTCCACAGCGGAGACCCCAGTTCTAGTAATGACTCTTCTCTAAGACCTTGAAGTCAGCTCACCACTGTGGGCCTCGGTGTTCTGATCTGCCAGAAGAAAGCCACTGGGGACGGTTTCTAAAACGTAGCTCCATTACAGACTCAAGTGTTCACACCACTGTTTCCTACCTTCCAATCTTTTCCTACTGAAATGAAGAGGGAGAAATAGCTGAGTATGCTGGTTGATAAAATTAGGACTTTTAAAAATAGCTGCTTTGTGGGAATCAGGCTCTGTGCGGTGCAGTGTGTGTGTGTGTGTGTGTGTGTGTGTGTGTGTGTGTACACATTTCTTCCAGGAAGCAGTCGCCGCAGTTCAGAGCCAGTTCTGAATGTTTCGGCTTTGCAGAAAAATCAGTGCAGCCACAAGAGGAGCGAGGAGTTTGCATGTGAGGAGGTGGGGGGAGGAGTAAATGTGCTGAGAATCCAGCCTTGAATTTAAAAAAAAAAAAAGGATGATAATGCTGCTAGCTAGAATGGGAGGTTGAAAATGAGCCAAGAAATAAAAATATGCTGGGGCTTTTAAATAGGATGTAGCCAGAGCCCGTTAAATCCTCCTCTTCCACTCTGACTGGCTTTTTACATTAGTCTGCCCTTCCCCCTCACCCCACCCAGGCCCATTCTAATTCTTTCAAGACTCCAATCCTTCTCCCTCCTCCCCCACAGAGAAATTATATAGGAGCCTGAAGGAAGTGACACATTTTCCTGCTGGAATGGCGCAGGCCCCTTCAGCAGCAACTCCACATTTGTCAGCAGTGTTATCTCACCTCCACCCCAGCCCCCACCCACCCCCACCCCACAGCCAGGCATGTGGTTCTCCATATAACACTCCTCAGGGCTGAACCCTGTTTGATGGCTTCCAGGCTTACAGGACAGCGAGCTCCAGCTTGGGGCAGCCATGCATGGAAGTTCAAATTCCTGTCTAGCACAATGGCCAAAGGCAGGGCCTACACTGATCTGGGTTCTGCGCCTGCACCTCCTACCGTGTGTGGCTCTTGAGAAGCAGAGTCCGGAGTTATGGGGCCTGACTTTGCATGCACTGTGGGACCCGGGCATAAGCCTCTCTGAACCTCATTCTCTTCATCTCTAGAGGGAGGGAATAATGACGTCTACCTCTCAGACTCTAACAAGAATTGAATACGGTGGGCTATGTGTCATTCCTGGATTGTTGAACCAACTTTGTAGAAGGTAGACAGCACAGTTTCAAATGTAAATCTATTACACCTGGACTTACCAGGTGTGCATCACAAAGTGCCAAGTGTAACCGGGAGTGCTTACTCTCAATGCCAGAGAACTGGCTACAACTGCCCTTGTGAGTTTCTGAGACAGTTAACTGTTTACAGAAATAGAAAGCCTTGTCTTTCTCCTAAGGAGTGGCTGGGCATTGCTTACCTTGTGGTGAGCAGCCTGATGCATAAGCGCTGTGCCACCAGGGACCCTAACTGAGGGTGGGAGAGACAGATAAAGGAGTCTGTTTCCTTTCCTGCCTTCTTGAACATTTCCTCCTGCCCACACTCTTTGCCTACCCTCCATCTTTAACACACTTCTCTCCACCACCATGTTGGCTGAGCACCTTATTTGATGTGGTTCTCTTGTGTCACCCTGCTCTAGCGGTGCAATGAGTAAGTGCTCCACAGTAAGAGATTGACAGATTGATCCCATTTTTTTTTCTCCCTTGGAGTCTCCTTAGAATCCCTGCCAGTCTGCTTCCTTAAGGATGACAGCCTTGGAAACCCATGGGGCTGCTCTGCTCTATCCTGTTAGGGTGCTTGCTATCAGTCAACGTCTACTCTGTGACAGTGGGTTTAGACTGGGCTTTCATCACAGGCTTTGTTCCCTTGGTGACACTGAAAACATACATTGGTATTCCAGTTCATAAATGGCAGTTCCCAAAAGAACTGGCTAAATGCCTCTGCCTGGGGAGCAGTGCCTGGTGGGTCACAGACCCGCAACAGCTATCTGTTGAATGGATGCGATGGGGCCTCGCTGGGCTTTACGTTTCTCAAAAGTGCCTCATTGAGGTCAGTGGACAGCATCAGTGATTCTCAAGCCTTGGTTCTTCAAGGGACCCCAGCAGAATTGTGCAGAAATAGCCTCCATTCTGGAATGACTCAGCAGGTCTACGGTAGGAAGTATGAATGAGCACTTAAGACAAAGAAGTTTTCCAGGTGATTTTGATTCATGGCTAAACTTAGGACCCATATTACCACGTATTTGTAACCGTTCTCAACTGTATATATAAAAGCAAGCCTGATGAAGGGGTGATAGTACCATGAAGGTGGTGCAGTCATTAGCGGGGTCACGCCCTTTGTGTTGCTCTTCTATTTTGATGGGAGTGGGGGTGGGGGGCACTGCTTTTACATGATCGTCGAACAAAAAAGGAAATGAGAAAAGAAACACAACAAAGCCTCTGGTTTTGTTTGACAACATACAAGCAGTTTAGTAAACTTTTGACAGTTCCATCATGTTTCACTCACAGAAATAGTTTTCGGTCCTCTGGGGAAGTGGGGGCACCACAAGCTTACCTTCCCATTCCTCTGAGGCTCTATTTCTGTCACTAGGGGATGTCTGAGGCCAACACGGTCAGTTGCCTGGCTACATGGTCCCAAGGATGCCCCGTTTGATGGCAAAGAAGGGCTTCTGCCTTAGCATTGCTGCCTTGCAGGAAGACCTTAGTGGATCAATGGCAAAGCAGGCACATGCATGCCATCAAGTTGGTGAAGGAAATGCCAGATTTTAAAGCAAAATACTAAGCTGCCAAGTTTTGACCGAAAATATAAAGGAGGCGGGTACGAACACCATAGAATTTGCCATAAATGCTCAGGAGTTGGAGTGAGCCAGTCTGAGATGCAGGGAGCAGACATGGGAGACCTGAGCCAGTCCCTTTCTTAGGAAGCAGAACCCGAGGCCCAGGAAGTCACCAGAAAAAACATCAAGGTTCTCCTCCGAGAGACAAAGCTGCAAAATGCCTTCTCCGGGCACAGTCTGGAGATGGCTCCCTTGGTTAGCAAGTAGCGTTCGTATTAGCACTGAACCATTTATCAAGTGCCTGCTGATGAGGGTGAGTCAAAATGGCCCTAATTTATGGCCTATACATTTGGATTTTCTTCACAGGGATTGTCGGTTTCATCATTAAACAAGCTGGGAGGCGATTCTTGCAGAGAAAAACCAGAGCAGCCTGCTTGTCATCTTCAAGGTATGAAGTTGCAGTACTTTCCTCAAAACTGCCTCTCGCAAATATTCATGAGGGAACTGATGTTGGCAGCAACAACTTTTAAATGAACTCAAATAACTGGAGTGAATTGAAAATAGAAATAAAGTACATTCCATTCCATCAAACTCTAGTTTCCTCCACTGCAGTAGTAGTATTTTTGAAAGAAGGAACTTCAAAAAGTTCATGGACATATTCCATTATCCCCCTTGTATGGACATTTGATTGTAATATCATACCTCTTAAATTTCCAGTTTTAGCGCTGTGTTAGTTTGGGTTGATCAGAGAAACAAATTCATAGACACTCATGTGTATATAAGAAAGAGCTTTATATAAAAGAGTAATTGTATATTAAGGAAAACATCCCAGCCCAGTCCAGATGAAGTCCTTAAGTCTGATACTAGCCCATGTGTCTGATACCAATTTATAAATTCTCTTCAGACTCACGAAACACATGCAATGATGCCAAATGCAGGAAGATCGCAGGCCAGTGGGTAGCAAGTCTTGTGGATCCGGTGGTGATGGAAGCATCTCGCACTGGGAGTGGTCTCCACTCCGTGGTTCCTCAGCTCCAGGGTTCTGGCTGCATCAGCATAGTTCAACGTGGCGTGTCAACAGGAATGTCTCGCAGGGAGAGTGTCCCACCTCCAGGGAGGAAGACGGAGTTCCCAGAATCCTGAGAAGGCCACGCCCACACAGGCGTCATTGGCTATGACCTGATTGACAGGCTAGACTCCACCCCTTCACTCAAGTTGACAGATGATTAGGCAACTGCCATAAACACTAAGGGGCAGGGGAGGGGGGATTAAAGCCGCATTTATTTGGCAACAGTGAAGTTATTTGTTTTGTTCCGTTTGGGTTTCCCCTCAAAATGCCTGTTTTCAGCTGACTGGTCTGGCATCTCATGTCTGGGGAGTTCAGTTCAAGGTGGACCGAGGAGTCAGACTGCGAGGGTCGGCATCTCAGCGCTGTCACTTATCAGCCACGTGACTTTGCCGCGTCACCTACACTCAGTGCTTCCATTTTTTAAACCTATAAACCGAGAGTGAAGATGCATGCCTCGTAGGGCCCTTGTGAGGCACAAAGGAGCTAGGATACGAAAGCACTTAGTCCCAGACCCTTCAGCGGCGCTGCCAGCAAGTGCGAAGGACGTGCGTACTGCTTCTGCAGCTTTGTATTCTCTCAGCAAAGCGCTCAATTCACTTAACGCCAAGCTGGGGGGGAGGCGGAGGGGGCGGGGATGACCGTGGGATTCTCCACCTAACATACCTGTGGGACTAAATGGATGCTATGAACTTCATTTAATCGGGGCTTACATTCATGAAATGATACTTGTCAATCAGGAAGGAATAGTTCATGAGGACTAAAATTAAATGAGGTCCTTGGTGGTGCAGTTAATGGGCTTGGCTGCTAACTGGGGGTGGGGGTGGGGGAGGCCAAGGAGGGGGTGGGGGTAGTTCAAGTCCATACAGTGAAGTCTTCAAAAAACCCAACTTGACTCTCTGTCCTGAGTCCTTTATGACTCTCAGTCACCCCAAAGGACGGAGGAAAACTTCCCTGGGCGGGTTCTGAGACTGTCACTCTTACGGAAGCAGGCAGCAGCATCTTTTTCCTGCACCTTTAGGTCACAGACCTCTTTTAAAACCTGATGAAAGCTACGACCCCTCTGCTCAGGACAGTGCTCATTAGCATCTAGACAGGATATTCTGCAGGTGAGGTCCTGAGATTCACCAACCTCCAATTAGGTTTCCCCGGCTGTAGTCATAGTTTCAAAATTCTTAAGGCTTATCTCCATGGTGACCATTTCAAATGCCAAATTCCAGGGCCACACTTCATAAAATGAAAACCTCGGATCCAGTGCCATTATTTGTCACTTCTTTTGCAATGGATCTCATTCTTGGCTGGATGTTAGGGTCACATGTTAGAGAGTTGGTTTTTTTAAAATCCAATGGCCAAGCCACTCCCTAACTCCATTGAAATCGGAAATTCTAGAGGGTGGAACCAAGGCATCAGGATTGGTTAAATTAAAGCTCCCCGGATGTGACTGTTCCGTCTAATTTGAGAAACACTGCTCTCCTGCTTCTCCACAAGAATGGTAATAATTCAGTTGATTTGAGCAGTCCACCCCCATCCAAATTCCTGTATTTTCTGCTCAGAATCATCTCTGTGTGGAGCACAGCATTTTCCTCTTTAAGCTAATCATTGGCTTTCACCTCGCATAGTTAACATGTCACGAGGAAGCCTACTGTTCACCTACAACAGCCCAGAGGGGATGAGAGGGACCAAAAAAAATGTAGAACAGAGAAAATAAAACTGCCTTGGATGATTAAATTCCATCCAATCCCATGAGTGTGCTTTACTTAAAAGCAGAGGACAAAGAGGAAGTGGGAACCATTAAAAAAATTAAGCTGGTTTTTGAAAACCTAGGTGACTCAGTTAAATCTGCATGAGTGAAGGAGTCCAGAGAGACGGGAAGAAACATCTAAGGAGTGCTACTCCTCTCTCTCTCCCCCTCAGGAGATGAAGAGTCAAATGGAGACTGAGTAGGTGGGATTGAGTAGGCAAAAAAAGCAGTTCTTCCTGTAGCGCCATCATTTCAGAGCTAGAGGAGACCACTAAGAGACGCCAGTCCTCTTTCTATTCTAAAGCAGCCGAGGGTGGCAGGGTCTGGCATAATCCTGAGCAGAGTGCTCTCACACTCTGTGAAGTCAGGGGGGGTGAGTGAGTGCGTCCTATGACGGCCCTTGAGAGGACGCTAACATAGGCTAGCAATAAGAGGAGCATATACTTTACTGTCTAAGCGTAGATACTTTTAAGAGTTAAAGAAGTGCTTTGAGAACGAACTACTTTGTTAAAACAGACCAATCTAGACAGACCCTGATACCTGTTTACATGCTTCTTCTTTTTCCAAGTCTGTCACCTCCTTGATAATTCTACCATCAATACTATCTCTGTGTGGAGAATGACGTGTAGTAGGTTTTCTTTTTTTTAAATCATTTTATTAGAGGCTCATGCAACTCATCACAATCCATACACACATCAGTTGTGTAAAGCACATCTGTACATTCATTGCCCTCATCATTCTCAAAACATTTTCTCTCCACTTAAACCCCCGGCATTAGGTCCTCATTTTTCCCCTTCCTCCCTTGATAGTTTATAAATTGTTATTTTCAATGACCTTCAGCTCATCTGCCAGTCCCTCCGAGGGAGAACCCAGAGATGTCCATCGAAGCAACAATTCCTGGTTCTACCTCCTGTTGTGTTTCTTTTCCAGCCTTCCATCTGGGCGCTAGTATTCCTAGAGGGCGACAGGATGAACTCGAGAACAGCTCCACACAAAGCGTCTGCAGGGTGTGTGGTCCTCCTCCCTCTCCACTTCCTTCCTGGTGGAGAGTGCCTCTGGGTAAGACCTCTGCTCCACAGCACAGCTCCTCTGACTTGACTTCCCTTCTCCCAAAGATGCATTGTTGGTTCTCGTGGGAGTGCAATACTTCTTCTTCCTGTAGTAGAATTCCATTTTGAGAAAGCAACGTTCTGATTTCTGTGGTTTTGGTTTGGTTGTTTTTTTGCCTTTTTAAAGGCAGACCTACCTGTCCAAAGGGAAGAAGAGGGAAAACAATGAAGACTTCAAGGAAATAATCAGTCCACCGGACTAAGGGACCTCCTCTACTCTGAGACCAGAAGAACTAGATGGTGCCCAACTGCCACTACCAACTGTTCTGATCAAGAGTGCAGAAGGTCTTGGGCAGAAAAGGAGAAAAATGTAGGACAAATATTTAAATCCTAAAAAGACTAGATTTCATAGAGATGGGTGGGATCCCTGTGGCAATGGCCCTTAGACATGTTTCAGACCTGAGCTGAACCCACCTGTGGGGATTCCCTTGTAAAAAACAACAAACAGGACTAAAAGGTGAACAATAACACTCGTGGGGAATATACGCCTCAGAATAATCAACCATGGGCAGCATTTGCCCAAAAATGAAGGTCAGAAGGCAGGGAAGAAGGACAAATGGAAATGGGGGACTCCAGGAGGAGGAGGAGAGAGCTGTTTCACTGAGGGACCTGCTACAAATGTTGTGAAACAAAACCTGGGTCAAGTATTGAATGGAAAACTAATTTGTAACCTTTCACTTAAATGACAATAGAATACTAAATCGAAGACAGACCTGCCCAGTTCAGGTAGGGCGATAGAGGAATGTTGGTTTGCGACAGAGACAACAATGGTGCCTCCAGTTACTTTTCAGTAGATGCTGCTTTTGGTGTTTCTGTGTTGAGAATTTGCTCTTTGGATACCTGCCCCAATACAGAGCATTATTTCCTTTCTCAGCGGGCTCTTTTTAAAGAACGTTAAAAAAAAAAACAGATTAATTCTATAAGTTACCAGCATCACCTGTGCCTCCCCACTCCTCTTCCAAGGGGTTCCAAGATGTTTACATGCGCTGAGATACTCTGTGAATCCTTTGATGATTCTCTCTACTCTACTCTGCTATAGAGTGGGTTTCTCTTATGAAACTCTCAAAATTGGTTTCTGGAAATCCATTTCCCACCAAGACTGGAACCAATCAAGGACTCAGTCAGGTACACACAACATTCCTCTAGTTCTTTAATGCTTCCTCCCCACCCCCCACTATCATGGCCCCAGTTCAACCCCACAAATCCTACTCCACCAGTGTATGTACATTGGTAAAGATAAGAGCTTTCGATGTACCTAGTCCAGGAGAGATAAACCCCTCAGAAACAGTAATAGGAGTAATGATTCCATGAGGGTATGGGAAAGGAGTTGGGGGTGGGGGGAGAAGGAACTGATAGCAATGATGGATGTATAACCCCCCCTCAAGGGGGGATGGATAACAGAAGAACTGTGGGTGAAGGGATACATTGGACGGTGCAAGGTATGGAAATATATATATATATATATAATTTATTAAGGATTCATGAGGGTGGTGGAGTGGGGGAGGGAAGGAATAAAGAAGAGCTGATATCAAAGGGCTCAAGTAGAAAGAAACTGTTTTGAAAACAATGATGGCAGCATTTGTACAAATTCACGTGATATAATTGATTTATGGATTGTTATAATATTTATAAGAGCCCCAATAAAATGGTCAATTAAAGAAAAGGACTCAGTCAGGGTTACACATTGGTTATAAAATATGTTTTTCAGCTACCAATACTACAACCTTCACCAGCTGCTGCTGCCTCATCTTCAGATTTTCTCACTCAGTGACCTTAATGCCCCCTGACTGACCAACCACGGGCCGGTGCTGCGACTCAGAGAGCTTCCTGTTACTGTAGGCTTTCGTCCTCTAGAGATAGCTTAAGCCATTTTCCCCCTTGCGTGTATCAGAACTTTAGCTACAACACTGTCTCTTCACATTATTGGAATTATTACTACCTTATGATAATGTCTTGCTTTTTTAATTCTCCTCCGTGCCCAGATGCAAAGCAGTCTTTTTCCCAGGATGACTTTGACCATGAAGCAGGTATGTAGTCATGAAGGAGGTTAGATTGTGGAGTAGGGTGCCTCTTACTACCACTGAGTCATTCTGACCCATAGCTACCCTATTGGATGGGGTACAATGGCCTGTGTGAGTTCCCAAGACTGTAACACTTTAGGAGAAGAGAAAGCTTCATCTTTCTTCCTTGGAGCTGGCTGGTGGTTTCGAACTGCAGACCTTTTGGTTAGTAGCCCAGTACCTAAGCACCACACCATCAGAGTGCCTCAGCCCAACGGAAATGTCCTCAGGTTGGAAAAGGACTCCGGCAGGGAACATAGGTGGGACACTTATTCGCCTCCTCATGTGACCTTCAAACGAATCCGTTTTCCTTCTGCAACTTGATTGGGGCTGTGAACTCTGCAGGGGTGGAGGAGGTTGGACTGTGGAGGTGGGTGCTTGTAATAGCTTTTACAGAGGGGTGTCTCATCTAATTTCCCTTCCTGCAAGCAATTTTGAAGAGTAACTTTAGTCATTATTGCCTTCCAAGTTAAGAAGTTATTACATTTAACTTTCTACTGCACCGCTGTAAGCCTACCATAGGCAAGGGATGTTTGAGCTCTATTGGGTGTATGAAGAACCAGGAGCCCAGACGCTATGCACCCATATTCTAACCAGTATGTTGGCAGTTCGAACGAAGTAAGATGTGGCAGTGTGCGCCCGCACCACAGATGTACAGCCTGTGAATGGCGGTTGGGGTGGTTCTACTCTGTCCTGCAGAGTCAGTGAGTCAGATTCCACTCCCTGGCAGGGGTACTGGTTTTTATCAAGTGTAAACTGACTTTGATTCGTTATGTTTTCAAGTTTCTTTAAAGTCCTGGTTCCATGTTTGTAGGCGCACATGCAACCTTTTGGCAGGGAGAGGGTGGGGGTGGAGAAGGCTGTTCTGAAGATAAGGGTTAGCATCAGACCATCTTAGTATCTCATATGTAAGTTTACGTGTTTTACCCCAAGGGGTTTTTACTGGGCTATTTATAGTTTGCTTATTTTAAAATGTGTTTGAGGACATGGCTTCTGTAAGTGCCCTGGATCTGAGAACACTCCAATGATAAGCAGTATAAAAACAAGCTGCTTGGTGGGATACTGGACCCAGCACTCGATTGAGTGGACTGAGAGCAAAGCTGACTTCAGGCTTTCCACTAACGAGCCGGGTGACCTCAGGCAGGCCACCAGCCGTTAATAACAAATGCCTTATGCAATGTGTTAGAACACCAGTTTCCTCAGTTATCTCATGAAGGCCTTTGAAATAATATACAGTGAACCCTCGCCACTTCGCGCTTCGACTTCTGCGGCTTCACTCTATCGCAGTTTTTGCGTAACAACGCATGCTCTGTCATTACTGCCACTGATTGGCTCATACTGTACACGCTTGATGCCATAAATAATATAATAAATAATAAATGATAATTGTAATGTCCAAAATGTTTTACTGTATTTTCCCTTTTTCGTTTAATAAATTGGGTAATACGAGTGTAATGGTGACTAAAGGGTGTTTTTTCATGTCCTCTATGCTCTAACTACGAAAATATTTGATTTACAAATAAGGAATCCTACTTCGCGGAATTTCATTTATCACGGTAGGGTCTAGAACCAATTAACCGCGATAAATGAGGGTTCACTGTACAAGAGAAAGCTAATGTATTGTTCTAATGCACAATAGTATTGTTGATTCTGTTGTCAAGAAGAACAAGATGATATTTGAAACCTAACTGATGGTTAAACTCCGAAGCGAGCAGAATTTTGTTTTGCTGGGACATGTGGGAGGTGGGCATACCGGAGGTGGAGGCAGGACTGCACTGGCATCCCTGTCCCCGGAGATTTCAGGAACGTTCATGCTCAAGGTAGACTGGGTGTTGGACCAGGCTCTCCCTCTGCAGTCCTATGGTTGTACATGGTATTATCAAGGCTTTTTTAAGGATGATGACATAGTGATCAAGCATCTCTTTCTTTGAAGGGCACAGAAGCAACATGGGCAGAACTTGGATACACTAGAATGGGATCCAGAAATCAATGATTGGATGACTGCTAGGTTCCTAATTTTATTAGATCCAGTAACCATGCCAATCGCTGGTGCAAAACTAATGAATAGAAGGTCTGTACAGGGGCATCATAGGATCAGTCATGCAGGGTTGAATGTTTCCTGCCTGAGAATGTATGTAAGCAAGGTACTAGGAGCTCACGAAAACACTCTTCCATCAGTGCTATCAACAGTGGAATGGGACCACGCAGGGTCTCCATCTATGAGACCTGGCAAGAGCGATTTGTACCAAAGAATGTGTCATGACTTGCTGCAGACTCCCCGGGGCTGGCTATGAGCAGGGAGTGAACGATGGCAAGATAAAAGAAGTCTAATATAAGTCTAATATAATAGATGTCCAAAATGAGGTCAAGGCACAAAAACAGTAAACAAGTCATAAAGTGTGTTATGAAAGCTTGGGGCATAGTTTTGGATTAACTTGTGGGAGGAAATATAGGAGCAAGTACCACTGAGAAGTATGTTAGAAACAAATAAGTAACAGCTTTGAGTATCTATCAAAATGGATCTCAATTGCAACTGAAAAAAAAAAGCTTTCATAAGCATAGAATCTTTTTTTCTTTGTTAGCTGTCTTCATTTAGTCTAACATCACTATTTTGTCATCTCAATAGAAAAAAAAAAAGGCTCCCGACCAAATGTATGGGCATATTTTAGTAAATATCCTGATATTGAAATTTTAGAGTAGAACATTGAGACTCATCAAAGAGATGAGGGTCATAACTGGAACACAGCAATGGGAGGAAATACTTTTGGGTAAAAATACAATGATTAGGAAGGAAGGGAGAACATAACTGGAGGTCAGAGATTGACTTATATGGCAGTCAATGAATCCCTGGGCAACAGTGTACTGGGAAATGTTTAACAACCAGCCCTGAGCAGGGGAGGGAGAAGCCCTAACTTATAGCACTTACTGATTTCTGAGCTATAGATATTCCCACTGTGACACATTTTCAGCGTACAGATATAATAAAGGTAAATAACCCCCAAAGAACCTAGTAAAATAATTGGAAAGTCATGAGTTTTAAATATTTATTACTCTTATTTATAACATAATTTAATTGCAAGTTTACACCATTTAAGTTTTAATAATGTCTGTTTTTAACAACCAGCTTGTAAAATTCCTAAAAATTTAACAATCAGCTCTCATGAGTCAGTATGAACCAGCTCCGACACACCGCTCACTGCCGGTGAGGGCAAAGAACACAGGAGACTCGTTAGATAAAGATCAAAGGAAAAGGGAACAGTAGTGGCCTACTTTGTCACTGACGAAGAAAGGTAAACATGGATTGGATCATTCTTCGTTCAAATTGATGAATAACTACAGGGTTCTTCTTCCAAGGTGCCATCAGGCCACATTGCACTACACAGCAACCCTGTGTACAACAGAAGGAGACACTGCCTGGTCCTGCTCC